CGTTTTCGTTGCCCTTTGTTTGTTCTAATGAGGCTCGAAACCCATCAGTTGCATGATGCACATTTGGGAGAGCATGTTCAGCCACCTCCATAGATCTATGTGGTTGCTTCGTCTGCTGCGGGTGCACCATATTTCGAGGGTGTATCATCTGTTATTAGTACACAATTTGTAGAGGGTGTGTCCTGAACACAAGAGTCCTCTCATGTTGCTCACCCTCAAGGAGATATGAAGAAGGGATGTTCTTTCAAGTCATTTATGGCGTGCAAACCGAGTGAATATGAAGGAATTCATGATCTGAATGTGACTATGAAGTGGATCATCGAAACTAATCGAGTTCTTAGAGATAGTGGTTGCCGTAACGACCAGAAAGTGATTTATGCTTCTCAAGTGCTTAAGGGCCAAGCCCTTATTTGGTGGGAAAGAGTATGCCAGACTTTGGGAGATGACGTGGAGGCTAATATGTCTTGGGAAGAGTTTATCAAACACATCAAGGAGAAGGATTGTGCTCCACGTGACATTAAGAAGTTGGTGGATGAGTTCTTTGATTTGAAGAAGGGAGAGTTGGCAGTGGAGTAGCAAGCGAAGGAGTTCTCTGATAGGATGATGTTTATAGGGGATATTCTCCCAACTAAAAGGGGGTCGCATTAGTCGGTTTGTGAAGGGTTTACTCGTTGATTATGAAGTGGAAGTGAAGAAAGTCGATACCTTGGATGATGCGATAATGGCTGCTAAGAACATAGAGGACATGATTGCTAGGAAGACTAGAGAAAAACATCAGGTGGGAGAGAAAAGATCTCAATAAGAGCAAGGTGGTTCTAGAAAGAAGGGTCGATTTTCTATTGGTATCTCAAAGAAGGGGGAGATTCCTAGTTGCAGAAGGTGTGGAAAGGTTCATTCTAGTGAGTGCAAATTTAGGAGTAAAGTGTGTTACATGTGTGGAGACCTCAATCACAAGTCATTTGAGTGTAAGAAGGAGATCAAAGATGTAGAATGTTATTCTTGCCATGAGAAGGGGCACATCAACACAAATTGCCCAAAAAAGAATAGTGGGAGGGTAACTCTAAGTGCTAGTAAAAAGTCGGGACGATGAAGGTGAGAGCTCGTGCATTCTAGTTGATTGTAGAAAAAGCTAAGGAGGCCATGATGTGGTGTCAGGTACAATACTTGTAAACTCCCTAATTGCAAGTGTTTTATTTGACTTGGGTGCAGATTTTTCTTTTGTATCTCATAATTTCCGAAAGAAATTTGATATGCCTTTAATACCCCTTAGTGAGATTTATATAGTAGAGGTAGCAACCGGAGAGCATGTTACGATACGTAAAGGGTACCCAAATTGTTGTATAGAAATAAATGGAGAAAAGTTTGAAGCAAGGCTTTTTGCCGATAGGGGTGAGACGTTCTGATGTGGTGCTAGGGATGGATTGGTTGTCAAGGTTGTTAGTTTTCTAAGCATCTAAACACATGATCATGGCAACGGAAAAAGAAATCCTATGTGTTCATGCAACCTAAGGATATAATTTTCATGCTATTACCGTTACCCTATAAAAAGATAAATAAGGAAGAACTACATACCTCTCTTGCAGCTAGCGACCTTCGAGCTTGTGGTATTGTGTGTGTCACCTTGTTTGGATGAAAGGATCCAAACCATAACTTCTTCATACAAACTCTGTTCTCGACATTATTTATATCGATGAATTCATATTTACGAGGAGATCAACTTTCGTTTAGATTGTTTTCTCTAAAAAGAAATCAATCTCCAATTCACTTTTTATGACACACATTATTGTGTCGGGTTGAACGCGAAATTTCGAAAAATCATAACTTCTTCATAACGAAGTCAAATTTAGGCGTTCTTTATATCCACGGGATCTTCATCACGACTACACCTTCCGTTAAGAGAATTTATCCCAATAATCTTTTATGTTTAAACTTTATTTTATTGTTTCAACGATAAATTTTATAATAAGATTTTCTACAAATATTATATACGCATTATATTTGTCCACATAACGTGTATACGATAAATAAATATTTACATAGTTTGTAACCCGTATAACAAAAAATTATCTTATTCGAGAATTTTAATTATTCAATAAAATGAATAATTATTAGTAAAATCACTTAATCGTTTAGTCCCCACTTACAGGCGTTACAGTAAATAAGGGTGTCAAACACAAAGAGAATTTATATGATTTAATTTAGATAATAAAGCAAATAACTAAATTAAACTTGATTTATAACCAAACTAAAGCAAACGAACACAACGAACTTGATTTATATTGATTTAAAGTACTTCCATTTAGATTTCGAATCATCCTATTTTCTTATGGTTGATTTATTAGAGTGCAATGGATTTAACAAGTTGATTATTGTGACTAGTTATCTTGATCCGATGAACTAATACTAATAATTACAAAGAAACTAACACAATGTTCATGTGATTAGCTAACTAAATAACCAATTAAATACTCAAATTATAAATGAATTAATCTAGTGATTTCTTATCAATGATCATGACAATTAATCTAGCATGCATGGATATATAATATTTTCTTACATATTCAAGTTAAAACTTGTTGAGCATCAGCGCTACCGGTTGATCTAAAACTAATTGGTGTTAGAAAGGGCGCAACCTTACCCATTAACGCATTCAGCCCTCCAAGACTAGGCATTCGATTGCCGCACTCCAGGCCATCATGCGAGGACTTGGTCGATGCCATTTCTGACCCCCAACAAAAATTATATTATCTAACCCTAGAATTTGGTCCATCATAGTCCTAACAATTTATTATAATAAACTAATTAAGATACACGTTCATATAATTAGATTGGTCCTCTAAATTACAATAAACTCGGTTGTAGATAATAAAAATCGAAACTTTGTTACATAAGGTAAACTATCAATCATGTGTAATAAATAATCAAACTTTATACATCCATCTAATAAATTGAACCATAGTATTTAGGAACCATCTAAAAGGTTTTATCCCATAATCTCTACTGAAAATAGAAAACAATCATAAAAGTATTGTTAATCATGATGTCTAAGACAAGCCGAATGATTAAATAATGTTTCCAATATTTGATCTTTAAAACGATGCTGATATCGTGTTCTTCAGCCTTCAAATCGACCAAAAAAGGTTATAAACAACTTCTGTCTTCGTACCAAAGGTTTCTCGTGGCTACACATCGAACTAGGGTTGTGAAATCATATATTTATAGAGTCAACAACGTAGCATCGCGACCCTTTAAATGTCGTGCCGCAAAAGCTAATCTGCATCCGAGTCGGTCTCGATCTTCTTGTTATCGTAATCCAAATTTTCTGAATATGATGGGGTGCGGCATGCTTTTAAAGAGGGCATGATGTGCTTTTGATTTTTTCTGCCATTTTTTGTTTTTCGGTCCTTATCAGCTCCAAATCAGTTCCAACTTCTACATTTTGCTGCAAACCACAAATTTAGCTATAATTATCCAATTCAAAGCATTTTAAGTATCTTTTATCTTTAATTATATAAACTAAGCTCTAAATATTAAGATAACTATCCCCAAAATATATGATTAAATAGGACAATATCAGTACCAAATTTAGCTAGAGATACCATGATGCCTAAGTGACCACCAAAAGCATGTGAAGACAAGTCAGGGAGATCGGTTGTTCTCTATGCTTAATAGAGATGTTTAGGAAAATATGTTTTGAATCATGATTGGACATTCCAATCACTACTAGAGATCCCTTCATGGTTCATATGAAACTAGTGTTTGAGATCCTCCATCGATATAGTGTCCAAGAGATGATTTCATGTTGGAGATTACAAATGTAAAAAAAAAAAAAAAAAAAAAGCTAATGTTTTTAGATCCTCAATCCATAAAGTGTCAAATAAGTTTAGTATTCATTGTGAAATGTTGGTAATACTCGAGATAAAATGGGCTTAAAGGTAAACAAGAGTGGTACACTGGTAAAAAAAACATCATAATCTTGTGAAAATAGTCTTAGTGTAGACTTTGAAAATAGATTTAATCTTGTGACAGGATGTAAATAGAGGAATTTCATCCTTACATTAGCATAATTCCATTTCAACATTCCTTATTAAGTTTTTGTTCCTGATGTTAGTGATGTCATTTAAAAAAATTTGTAGGGTCATTATAAAATAAACTCAATTTACTTGTTGGTAATAGGTTAGAATGATAAAATAACAACAAATAGGTAAAACTTGAGTATTTTTTGAAGAAAAAAAAAAGTATTAAGTATTTCTTTTTTTGAAAGTCTTGTAATAATTTAGAATCGTCCATGCAAGCATTCGTTTACATTGGTAACCCATAAAACATAATGTTATTTGTTTAGAACTTCATTTTATAACCTGAATGATGATAAGTAAAATCTAAAGTTATAAGGAAAAAACATTTTTTTCAAGTACAAACTATAACAACCAAGATAACTTTCAAAACCCAAACCTCGTGCTCCCCACACCAACCAATAGCAAAGAAAAAATTGAAAGGTTAAACCCAACCCATAAATAATTGTTGAATAAATTGGTGAAACAGTGAAGCAATGTGGCGTAAATAAAAATTTACGTAATGAAACATCATTGTATGAACTATTAATCTACCTACACTTCCCTACTTCATTATTATTAAAACTCTTACATGTCTTTTATTTTTAGGTTAAGCTTTGTAGAGCTATTTCTAATAATGGGAACGAGAAGGACATTTACGTCTTTTACTCAAACAAGATATCAAAAGCAATTCCTTTACCCATGGGAGAAAATTATATTTTTTTATCAACATCAGTCACAGTCACAATCACAGTCTCCAGTCCAGTGAAAGAAAATTGAATTCAATACAATCTGTTTTGTGATGTAATGCAAACATGCCAAAATGGCCAAGTTAACATTACCAATCTCAAACTAAACATTCGGGTACAATAACACGTCTAGCAATAACTACACATTAAAAAAAAAAAAAAAAAAAAAAAATCATTTCTTAAATTTTTTTTTACTACACACATATCAATTAACACAAAGTAAAAAAAAATATATTACCACAATCGTTTTACTTTTTACAGTCTCTGCTTCTTTGAAACAAAGCGGATTCCTTGTTTTCCAAGATCCACATTCATTGTTTTTCCATCATCTAAAGTAACCAATACATTTGACGTATCTTCACAAAATTCAATTATTGTTCCCTTGTGCCTAACATTATATCAAATCACAATTTTCACAAAAGTTAAATGCAAGTTTATGAACTTCAACAATGTCATTTCTTAAAAAACTCACCAGGAATTATTTGATGGGTGATGAACTTCAACAATTTTTCCAATTGCATGTTTTCCCAACTTTTGAATTATCCATTTTGCATCCATGATCTCATCATACGAGTTTCCATCCCCTTTCTTCTTATTCTTATTATTATTATCTTCTTGAACAAAAGATGGTGACTTATCCATAAAAGTCAAAGGTCTCTTTCTCTTTGACCTTTGACCCTTCACAAAGCTCTGATCATCTGAATACGGGTTCTTGAATTTCAGTCTCAATGAAGGCTTAACTTTTTCACTTCCACTGCCAGGTGTCATGCTCCTATTCGTGCTCCTTTTACCAAACGAAACACCGGTTTCATCATCATGGTTTAAGCTGTCTCCTGCAGATAAATATAAAGAACAAATATATTATTTTTATTTTTGAAAAACTTTGTAATATATAAAGTTTATAAATTAATAAATAAATAATAATCATTACCTTCTACATCAGAGAGCTTAGATGAGTTTGCATTTGCAAGCATGTCCAAATAATTATCTTTTGGTCTTTCTTGTACCATGTCTTCACCACCTGTAATAAGTCACACAAACAAAGCAAATATTTCAAAGAGTAAATTACACGAATGGTCCCTATGGTTTAGGGTAATTTGCACATTTCATCCCTAACTTAATTTTTTAGCTTGGAAGGTCCCTACTGTTTGATTTTGTTACGCGCTCGGTCCCTCTCTTACCTAAAAATACTATTTTGCCCTTGATTTTTTAATTTATTTAAATAAACACAACCCCAACCCCTCACCTTACCTTACCTACCCCACCATTTTTCCCTATTTAAATAATAGTCTTTTTAGGGACCAAACACGTAGCAAAAACAAACAGTATCGACCAAGCATGCAAATTACCCCAAACCATAGGGACCATTCATGTAATTTACTCTATTTCAAATCAAAATAAATTTTTTCAAAAACATACCATTTGGAGTGGTCAACGCTTGGTCAACGAGAGAGTTTGACACATCAGACCTTGGAGAATTTATTGAAGTTTTATGTCTCCCACCCAAATGTATAACCAATTTTCTCCCCTTAATGTCCTTTGATTTAACATCTTTTCCACTCTCCTTCATTTTATCTTTAAAAAATTTAAAACTTGTCCCAGAAATCTCATTAACAAGCTTGTTTTTGTTTTTGTTTTTATAAAAATCTGATTCGCTACTTCTAAAAGACTCCACATCTTCATCTTTATTATTATTATTGTTATTATGATTATCGCCTGTGATGGATCCAATAGATTGAGCATCACTCTGTCCTTTTTCCTTTCCATATCTTTTAGAAGATTTTTTTTTGTTCTTTTTATCAGGGGATTTATTATCGATTACTCCTTTGAGGGAAAACTTTAAAGAATGGCCATATTCTTTTTTTAGAGAAGGGGGTGGGGGTGGGGGTGGGGGTGGGGTATCATCATCTTCATCTGAATAAGGTGAAATTGCAAATATTTCTTCTTGTGTTGGTAATCCTGCTGCAGCTCTTAAGCTAGTGATTAAGTCATGGTCAGCTTTGTCTCTTCTTCTCCAGAGCTCCTGAACAGCATCTTCAAGATCCCGAACCTGAAAAAGTTGAAAAAAAAAAATGGATTGGAATATGATTTGGTTGGATGGAATTGAAGGAGGAATGGAATGGAATGAGTTATTACATTCCATGGTCTTGTTTGGTTACGCGTGTAGGAATGGATTGGATTTTTATATGAATTTTTTTTTGTTGTATATGTAAAAATACAATGTATAGTTTTAACTATATTCTATATATATATATATATATATATATATATATATATATATATATATATATAATGATTTTTTTCATCAACAAAAGCAAAAAAGTAAATAAAGTAAAAGCTTGTCAAAACCCAAATGAGATTATAGCGAAAAGAAAAGAAATTTGTTTTTGATTTGCTTGTAGAATATAGGGTTAAACTTATAAAAGACCTTATGATTTGTATTTTTTACGGATTAAACCTCAACTTTAATTTTTTTCCTGAAAAAGACCTTGCATTTTTTCGTTTTTTCCAATTTGGCCGTTTTAGTCATTTTTTTCCCGAAAAAAGTTGTAAAATGTGAGGGTTTTTTCAGGAAAAATTAAAATGTTGAGGATTTATTCGGAAACAGTTAGAAGGTTGAGGGTTGTTTCGGAAAAAAGACAAAGTTGAGGGTTTTTTCGGAAAAAATGAAAAAACACAAGGTCTTTTTCAGGAAAAAAAATAAAGATAAGGTTTAATCCGGAAAAAACACAAAATACAAGATCTTTTATGAGATTAACCCTAGAATATAAACTGTAATTTAATTAAAACCATCAAAAAGTTTTAAAGATTTGTAACACTAAAAAATACATAAATAAAAACGGGTTATACTCTAATATTTTATTCCATTTCATGATGGAATAAAGAAAAACACCCCCTAAAGAATGAAGACTAACAAAATGCTTTGAATCATCAGAGTTCTATTCCAATGGAATGACCAATTCCATTCCTTCCATGATTTTTTATTTTAAATTATACCTGGTAACATTCTCCACGACATGTAGCACAACTGTATTGCAAGTGATTATCCACTTGAAATTGTAAATACCTTTCATCACTGCATAAATGTTCCACAGTTATAAAAAAGTAAGCATTTTATTTTTTTGGCTATAAGTAAGAAATATCAACAAACTATCAATCAACTATATAAACAATCTAACCAATTATATAAACAGATTGTTATAACATTTGTATGTAGATTGTAACTAAAATAAAGTTCTTAATAGGTAAGGAAACTGTATACGTTGAATTATGTATTAGAGCTTTCAGTTTAAATATATAAAGCAATAGAAATAATTAAATATCATAAAAGGGTGGAAAGAAAACCTAATTCCATCACAATGACAATGCACCCATCGTTGACAAACATCACAACAAACCATAGGTGTTGATTCAGAGTCTCTATACACCTGTGAATTAATTGATACAAAAAACACACTATCAGTTAATTTATAACAATAGATATTTAAAAAATAAAAATAAAAATAAAAAGGTTACCTTTAAGCAAACAGGGCAATAATTTCCCTTCACAAATAATCTTCCACAAGCATCACAACAAGTATACCCGAGAAACCACCTTCAAAATGTTGTAGTGGTAATGAGTAACAATGACAAATAAAATGTAAAAGAAACCATCTTTAATAAATAGATTACAGAGCTATGAGAAAGAAAAAAAAGAAATAGAAGAAGGGTTTCATATTATTTAATAAAGATAGATTTAACATGAAACAAAACTAATAAGATATATTTTATAGGAATGCAATGAGTTTTCCTATCATTCTTTACATAATAGCTGGATCAATACATCTTATAATATTATTTTTATTTTATACACTATGTCACTATTTACTTGAAACTATTAACTTTTTATTTAAATAAGTGAAAAAATAAAGCATAATAAGAACTTATTAAAACCTCAAATATACTTTACATTAACTTTTTGAAACATTAAAAAGCAATTTAGTTAAAGTTGTAAGTTTTTTTAAAACTTGGTAAAGTTATAAGTTACATTCAATTCCACAATGTAAAGGAGAAAAAACAGCCTCTAGCCATGGAATGAAATCATTCGAATGGAAGGAATGGAATGGTCCATTCCATTCCATTGGAGATTTTAATTCCATTCCTTCACTAATTCCATCCTACCTGAGACTTGATCCATTCCCTGGGACTGTAGATGCACAGCTATGACACTTTGTATGCTTGGGGCACAAATAAGGTCCTTTACTCACATTCTGCAAAATTTCAAAAAATTAAAAAACATCATTATTGATTATAAAAACAAAAAATAAAATAATAATTAATCCATACTTTACCTTGTGAGGAGGATGCTGACAATAACAATGATATGCAGCATCACACCTTTTGCAAACATAAGCTTGTTTGGATCACCTGTTCTTCTGCATACCTATAATAACAAGTTGTTCAATATATATGCTATTTATTAATTTATATGTGCAAATTTAAATAATACCATTTTAAACAAACTTGGGCACAATAATCATGCCTACTTTTAAGAATTAAAACATAAAACATCAGTTAATGGCTGTTTCTTTCTTTTAAGTTCTGTATGGATACAGTAGCTAAATGGATAAAGATGTTTGTTAGTGTATATACAAACTTTGTTTCTTTTTTGAACTATCTGAATATGAATAAACGACTGTTTTACCCTCCTGTTTAGAAGTGATGTTATAAGTTATAGTGTTTTTTATATGTGATTTTGAGAAAAAAAAAATGTATTTTGTTTATGATATATCATGAAAATAATTTACCTAAGGAAAAGTGAAAAATTATGTATATATATGTAGTAATGTACTATTATTAGAGAAAAGTATAAATTATTAAAATATGAAAACTAAAACTTTCAGAACTTTTTTAATGTAGTTGCAAATTTTATTGAATGAATGTTGGCATCTCATCAAAAAAAACTGTCACATGTTGAATCTAGAAACATTTTTTATATGTATGTCGCATACTAAATAAAAAAAAATAATCATTTAATAGGAAAATAAATTCCTTAATGCATGGTGAGGATTGTTACATGTTGAGTAAAAGTTTATAACAAAAAAATTACCTCACATATTCGACATGAAGGACATGTCCAAGAAGTCCAATGAAATAAATCTGGAGTCAAGATTTCAATTAGTAAATAGCAATAACAAGATATAAGCAATAATGGAATTTATTAGCAAAAACAAATTGTACTTCTATCATGAGCCCAAGTTTTCAAACAGCTTCTGTGATACTTCTTGTTACAAGTTTTACATGATAGCATCTTCCTTGCTCTCACACTTCTTTCATTTTCTCCAGAAAAACAAAGGCGACACATTACTTTTCCATTAGAGAGAACTTGCTCTTCTCCAGCTACATCTTTATTTACACCCTGCATTAAACATATGAATGACATGACATCACTTCCCAATGTGTGAATAAAGTTTTGACCATTTAGGTCAACATATATACCAAGAATGATGAAGTGCAGAAATTATGTGAAGTGTAGATTAAACTTCTTTTATTCTCTTTATATTGAATCTTTAGAGAGTTTGCAAGATGATAGTCCTGATAATTGAAATTACTTACTAATGTTGCAAATGTTAACTCTATAAACTATAAGCATCACAGTTTGAAGCTTTCAAAATGCAAGAACTAATAATGTATTTTCAGTTATTTCTATTACAGCCATGGCTTTTCTTCAATACAGAAGCTTGCTGTTATCAGTTACCTATCAGTGAATGGCTTTCCCCATGACTATGACATCAAATTATGCCACGGATTTCATTTTCAAGTTCGTTTTCTATTTAGACTGTTTACACACATACACAGATGATATAAGAGGATGAACTTTCGTCAATAGAGATGTCTTCTTGACTTAATTGTTTGTTTCAAAGAGGCTGTGACAGTTTAAAACCTGTTTTTCATAATGATTTCGCCAAAACAAACCCAACCCTACTCCCCACGCATCTCAGCTAACACAGGATTCCGGAATAAATTTATAAAAAATTACGAAAAAACATCTTACCTCCGGATCCCCAGATTCAAATCTCCGAGCATAATCCTCCGCCACCAATGACGCGGCAGCCGCCTTCTTTTGCATCGCCACCCGCTTATTCTGTGCCGATAACATCTCATCCGCAGCATCTTCATATCCTCCATCAACAACCACAGCATTAGAAGTCACTGTCACCTGTGGCGGAGGAGGCGTAACATCGACCTTGGGGACAAGAACCTGTATCCTTTTCTTATCATCTTTAATCAACCATGGATCATCCAAAAACGCCTTGAGCCTATCAATTTCCTCCAAGAACCCAATTTGCCCCTTTTCATTCTGTACCTCCCGTGGAAACCCTAGCGAGCAGTAGCAAATTCGACGACTAGAATCAACAGAAAGAAACTGTTAGACAATATATGGAGAGAGCGGGAAATATGTATACGCTTGTTATATATACATGGAATTTGGTGGTGAAAAACAGATTACCATGTAATTGGGCAGGCGACGTGAAAGGCCATCGTAGCAATCAGAAATTGAGGGGTTTTTTGATGAGATTTTAAAGGTTTAAGCGATTTTATATTTAAAGTTTTTAAGGACAGAAAAATTGATGTCCCTGTCACCATATTATTAGCTAGGAATATTATATCTTTAAATTATTTTATACTTTATAAATTATCACTTATAAATTATTGATATAAAGTCAAATTTTGTTTTACACAATTTAACTCTTTCATTATCACCGTTAGATTAGGCTATTTAATACGTGATAAGAATTTTCTGTCATTTCTTTCTGTCTAACACAAATTCTAAATTTTGTTTTTTGTCTTTTGTCTTACACGCGTGAAACACAAATTTACATATTTAACAACATATAATATACGAACTAAATTTATGTGACACATGACACGTACAGACATGACACATATATACGCGTATAAACATGAATTAGATGCATGTTTTCCTAGCTTAAAATGGTATTAGACAATGCATGTATAAATTCATATTAATCGGTGTTTTCATGTGACACGGTTAAAATGTATATATTCATGTCGTGTCACATGTCACATGGATTAATTACGTGTTGTGTTTATGTTTGATATCCAAAATATGTTTTACAATTCATGCCGTATTCATGTTTTACAAATTTGTTTCATGTGAATTCTTGTCTGGCATGTATACACGACATTGAAACATGAATTGCTAGGTCAAATCACCATCACAACCTTTTTGTCATCCCGATTTATTCCTTCAGTTCCGTCTCGTTCGAAAAGGTTAAGACCCGTTAAATCTCGAATGCAACCTGTAAAACTTGCAAAAACTTAAAATGGCTATCCTCTAATACAACATTATTAAGAGTATTTGTTGTTAGCGAGGGTACACAATATTTGTCCATTATATCAAACATATGCATCCACATAGCACATACTTTCACATAATCTCATAACACATAGGTTATAACTAAGATTGTAAAAGTCGTTAGGCGGTACTAAGTCGATCAACTGGTAACTAGGGATTAGTCGACCTAGTCGAGGGATTAGTCGGCGACTAGTCAGAGACCCTAAATTGTAAATTCATTAAATTTAAAATATATATATATATATATATATATATATATATATATATATATATATATATATATATATATATATATGACTACTATCATAAAAAAAGGTTAGTAAATATCACTAATATCATAACAAAATAGGTTAATATGATTAATAAATAAAACATTAATCATTCCTCAAATAGTTTATGTTGAGATAGAACTTCTTAAAATTGTTATTAATATATATATATATATATATATATATATATATATATATATCGGGCTTCTACAACTTCACTTATTGTCTAGACATGGATTAATCACTAGGCGTCTTCTAGGCGGTTATGTAGCGTTTAGGGACTAATCAGAGATTAATGGGGGCCTAGTCGGGATTTTAACAACACTGGTTATAACACACATATTGTTAGTACCAACTCCACACCAGCAGGGTGATTCCCCTAAAGGGTTTATCTCATACTTTGTACAACTTGGGACTGATCACTTCCCCCAAAGTGTGACATCCATTTATTTTCATACCCAATTAAAACTTTTTCTTTACGCTTTGAGTTGTGTTGCGGAAAATCTCAGTTTAATTAAAACAATTTGAGATAACATAAGTTATTTCATTTTTATTAAAGTACCATGGATGTCACCATTAATATACAAACATAGGTTACATTGTAAAAATAAAAAGGTCTTGAAATGCTAATACATGTTCATCTCTTATTCACTCGACATCCTAACTAGATTCTAGAAGTCTTAGTTCTGCTACCTGTGATGCATATAAGTTGAGTGGGTCAGGTTTGGGAAATCTGGTGAGATGCATGGGTTTTTCAAGCCCATAATATTTCAATGATAATTAAATCATAATAACATTCTTGCAAACAAAACATTATAGGTGTATATGATTTGATGTAAGACCACCTACTCTGCCCAATCGATTCTCATAAATCCTAATTTGACGATCATCTGGAAGAATCACCTTACCTGATGAATCGTCTAAGCAACTGTCGACTACACCGCTAGGGGAGTCATTGGCCAGTGTAAATCATATAAAGGCAACCAATGTATAGAGTATTTGATAAATATGATATCCTATTTTATCTACGTCTGTGGGTTATAAGTCCACACTAGCAACGTAATTCACTAGACCGCCTAGAATAGTCAAGTGTTGTCATCTACTCAGGTCGATGACCCAAACATACTTGCCAGTTGTCTGATATGGACCCACCATTTATGGTCATCAAAAAAAAATGAGGGCTACTACAGTCTGGTTTGATCTCACATTCTACACCAAAATGAGAACTATTCAATATTCAACTTATTTGGAACCAAGCACCTTTTATAAGTCTATAACTAACCCAGACTATATCTAAAGGTAAATTTGATTTCCAATACGGTCTTTAATAAGTAGTACTATTATAGTATACAGATAACACAAAGTATAATTAATACAATTATCATTTAGCAAATACTTTTATTAAATTATTCTCTTGAAAGTAACTACGCACTCACCTAACAAAAGTAGGTGATTCGAGGTTAGGGCAACGCTTCGCCTTAACACTTAGGTGTTGTTTGTTTTTTAAAAAAAACATCTTCAAACCACTTTCTGCTGCGCAGCGCAGCACACGCGCAACACTTTCCCTCTTGCAGCAGTTTGTTTTTTGGAAGACTTCAGACTGCAAAACCTCTATGCGTGTGCTGCGTGCGTAGCACTTGACTTGCCTCTTCAAACCTCTTCAGCTTTCATTTTTTTGAAGTGTTTTTTTTAGAATTTTGGTATAATTTTTTTTTAACTTTTATTTTTTTAAAAAACTTAGATTTTTTTAAACTTTTATTTATGGATTTGATACAATTTCTTATTATAGATTCCACAAAATTTTTTTAACTTTAATTTTTTTTACCATTTCTGTTAATAATATTTTCAGTTTCAATTTCATCTTTGTTAACGTGTGTAATTTTTTACGAACTTTGTAGACATCGTTTGCAATTCTTTCTTAATTTTTATTATTATTTTCTTTTTTATGTTTTTTAAAATTAGTTTTTTTCTAGAATAAAGTTGTTAGCTTCTTTTATATTTTTATAAGTTTTTTTTAAAAAGTTTTATATTTTTGTTTTTTACATGTTCTTTTTAATATTCTTTCAATGTTTTAAGACTAGAATTATTTAAATTTCGGTGTTGAAAACTATTTTCAGTTTATAAAATTAATTTATTTAAATTTCAGTTTACTGCAGCAGTCTGCAGATGTTAAAAAACAAACATGCTTCTTATTATGGGCTGCAGCCGTTTGTTCCACCTCTTCTGATACAGAGGATTGCAGAGGTGGTCCGCAGACTTCACGAATTTTTGCTTCGAAAAAACAAACAACACCTTAATTCTTTCAAAAGACCTAGATTAAAATGGCATTAAGTCTTAGTCTATCTTCATAATCCTGTGATTATAATAATGATAGTCTAAATTCCTCAATAATCTCAATGTCTACATTAAGATCTATCAAATAAGCAATAACCAGGTAGGATCATATCAGAGGTTGGGTCCGTTTGGTATACAGAGTATATTGTTTGGAAAACGCACTTTAAACACCTCACTAAATCCAGCCTAGACATCACTCCCGTAAGTAAATCAATCAATATAATGATTTTGAATAACGAATAAATCTTATTTATAGGTTCATAATAACGACTATGACTATAAATATAAGTTACATTTAAATTAGGACAAGTGTAGTTTAACTTACAGCACCTTCTAGCAAGAACCAGCAACTGCGCGGACAAAAGTATGACCCGAGAACTTCTATTTCTCCAGCTCTATGATGCCACAGGGCCTCGCTAAATTAGTCGAGAATTTAAGTAGTAAAGGGCTAAAGATTTAAGAGGGTTACAGATAGATTCTAGAGTGAATGTGTGAAGAAATGAACTGCCAGAACGCAATATATATATATATATATATATATATATATATATATATATATATATATATATATATATATATATATGTGTGTGTGTGTGTGTGTGTGTGTGTGTTGTGAAAGAATGTGTATCATGCCTTTTGAAACGCGCGTTGTGTGCGCTTGAGCAACGCGATTTAGCAGATTTTAAAAAATTCATAACTTCTTCATATGAGTTTCCTTTTTATGTTCTTTATATCCAAGTGTAGCTATCGATGAGATTTACAACTTTCTTTTAGGCTCCGTCAGGTAATTCTCACTTTATTTTTAAAGTTATATTTTTAGTAGGCTTAGACTGCTAAAGTTCGTATAAAAATCATAACTTTCTCATACAATATTTGTTCTCGGTTGTCTTTATATCGACTGATAGGTATTAATGAGATCTTCAACTCTCGCTTCGATTTTTTTTCCTAACAATCGACCGATTTCAATTTCGATTTCTGAGTCGTATACTGCTACGTTGAAACTTAAAATTTTCATAACTTCCTCTCACGAAGTCAGATTTAGGTGTTCTTTATATGCACGAGTTTGTTTTTTTTTATTACTACGCCTTTTGTTTAGATTATTTATCCTAAATAATCTTCTATTTTTAATTTATATTTTAGTCCTACTTATTACGTTTTGACATAAGATTTCACACAGATATCATATTCACCTAATACCTATAAAATTCACATAAGCATATATATATATATATATATATATATATATATATATATATAATTTACTTTTATTTATTCATAAAAGGTTTCAATCGTCGAATGACGTACATACATATTCATAATTATGTCTAGCGATAAATGGGAGCGTTACACAAATGGTTTATAATGATCATCCAAACTTTGAGAACTTCCCCGAAGGGTCTATAATGGTCAAACATTCTAAAACAAACATATATGTAACATCTTATTCCCTGTATGTATTTTTAAATTGGATTTAATTTGTTGGGTCTTGGACGAATTGAGACTTGATTTTCGAATTGGGCATGTTTTAGCCCAATAGGCAAGAAGCGCTTCTTAAAGGGCGTGGGGCGCCTCCAGAAATGGGCTTGGTGGGATTTTAGGGTTTTCTTGCTAT